AGTTATGCTCGATTTTTTGCCGATTTTTGACACACCACGCCAAAAAGGTTGCCCATCACTGCTCTAGAAAGATATTTTATCAACTAGAAGCACTTGGTTTCATATACAGCAATAATTGCTGTCTGGACAGTGTACAAAAGCAATGTCTATGATTTATATGAAGGACATTCCTTATGTTATTTTTAGTCAGTCAAACCTTATCACAGCAAGCATTTTGAAAGTTCTTCCTTATAGTTTGGTACAGCAAATAAAAATGACAATCAGCAAAGGAGTCAACTCTGAACAAAGAAAGATCAAAAATAATGAAAGAGAACAATACTCTAATGACTAATTTACACTAAGGATAAGAACCCAGAATTGGATTTGTGTACATTATCTGCTATCATTTAGCACTAAAATATTTATTGATCCAGATTATTATTTAAATCCTTTCCTCGTAGAATTGCCTTGTTAAATTACATGAAGCGATATTACACGGAGTCCCAAATCGGCATAGATTTTCAATCTATGTATTCTCAAGTATATCCCAGAGATTCAGTGTTATTTTTATGTGAGATGAACTTTGATTGTGGAATGCCACTGTCAATTCGTGAAGCATTCCTGGTCTCTTCTCAATTTGCCATAGATGGGGGGATGAGGAACTGAGCCTTGCAGCTGCATCGAGGAACTTGCATTTCAGTCAAAACAAAGCACAATCCAGCTGGCAGCATCAAGGTCATGTCCAAGGCGACCCACAGTGGCCGGAGGGAGTGACTTCCACAACCCTCGAAATTGCTTTGTTGGAGAATGTGACTGATGATATGCCTTGAGGGGAGGGGAAAACAAAGTCAGAGCCAAGACACAAATTAAGTGAAGTCAGAGTTGGCTTCATTTGGTTCATGCTGACATGAAGCTCCTAATAAATAACTGGATTTCTTTTGAAACTTGGCTTGAGGATCATGATTTAATTAGGACATCGGAATCCTTAGGACTTCAGATAGGCTTTCAATTTATGACCATAATTGAGATCAGAATTTCCTCTCCTAAGAAAGGTGGTTGTTAAGTGAATCAAATGCAAATATATGACCTTTTTGTCGTGGTTATTAAGCAAATCACTGTAATTGTTAAGTGAAGCATGTGATCAATAAATGAATCAGGATTCCTCTATTTACATTGCTTATTGGAAACTGGCTGAGAAAGTTGCAAACAGGGAAATCGGGAAAAGATTAAATAGATACAAGTGGGAGGATATAAACAGTCATTTCATAATAAATTTAAACTGTTTAAAATTATTTTGGTAGAAAAGGTTATTCCTCATGTCAACAAAGCATAGATATAATGACTGGGTTTATACATAGCACTAAATCATAAGGTGTTTTGTTTGGTTTGAGGTCTGCTATGAATTAGTTAGGCAGCCTTTAAAACTCTTTCTACATAACAGATATCCATGTACAATCCATGTGCTGGATTGAGGAATGGTACCAGGGTAAGATATGTATTCAAAGTAGGTATTCAAAACATATAAAGTGCTTTTGTATGGTTTCTATAAAGAATAAAGAGTTGGAAAGAACCATGGAGATTTTCTAGTCCAACCCCCTGCTCAAACAAGAAACCCTGTAATATTTCAGATAAACAGTTATCCAATCTCTTCTTTAAACCTCCTTCTGGAGGCAAGTTATACCACTGATTAATTATTCTAACTGTCATGGAATTTTTTCTTAGTTCTAAGTTAGTTCTTTCTTTGATTAATTTTCATCCATTACTTCTTGTCCTGCCTTCAGGTGCCATGGAGAATAAGTTGATCCTCTCTTTTTTGTGGCAGTCCTTTAGATTTGGAACACTGCTATCATGTCATCCCAGGCTTCTTTTCATTAAACTAGACCAGTGTTTTTCAACCACTGTGCCGCGGCACACTAGTGTGCCGTGACATAGTGTAAGGTGTGCCGTGGGAGAATTACTTTATATATAGTCAATATNGGCAGGAGGCGGTCTCTCAAGTTTTGGATTCTTTTCTCACATTTTAATAGTTAAACAGTGCACACATGCGCAGTGCAATAAAAATTGTGCATGCGCAGAAGCAAAAAACAAGAAGCCTATGGCACCGCCCAAAGAACTGGTTTTGGGGCGTGGCAGGCCTAGGTCACTGCTGGTTCCAGTGATCCAGGCCACCAAACCACTACCATTTCAGCTGAACCAGTAGGAACCCACCACTGGTGTTGGGGATAGTGGTAAAAACTTGTGCTGACCAACTATCAGAGGTCCTAACAAGGATTTTGAACATCTCCCTACTAATGGCCAGTGTTCCATCATGTCTGAAAGCAGCCACTATTATTCCAGTCCTGAAGAAAACAGCAATAAACAGTCTGAATGACTACAGACCCATTTTATTAATGTCTATAGTGATGATATGCTTCAAGAGACTGGTTCTTCAACACTTCAGGTCATGCCTTCCATTGAACGTTGACCAATATCAGTTCGCCTACAGAGGAAATAGGTTGGCAGGCAATGTCATCACTACTGCCCTTCATTCTATAGTGAGTTATCTAGAGAAACCTGAGAACTACATCAGAATGCTTTTCATATACTACAGCTCAGCTTTTACCACCATTTTGCTGGATATCCTCATCAAAAAGTTGACTGACTTGAATTTCCCTTCCCTCACCTGTGATTGGATTAAAGACTTTCTGACAGACCAGTCACAAACAGTGAGGGCTGGGTCTTTCACATCCTCCTTGAAGCTCAGCACTGGGTCTCCTTAGGGCTGTGCTCAGTCTCTACCTGCACTTGTTGTACACATACAACTGCATATCTTCTGATTCATCTAACATGATAATAGAGTTTGCAGATGATACCATACTGTACTGGGTCTTATTATAGGGGGAGACAAAATAGCATATGAGAAGAAGTCCAGAGGTTATCCACATGTTGCTCAGAAAACAATTTGCATTTAAACTCTAGCAAGACAAAGGAAATGGTGTTAAACTTCCGGAAGCAGAGAGAGGAACCTGTCTCACTCTACATCAAGGGGGATGTATGGAGAGTGTCTCCTCTTTCAAATTTCTGGGAATCTACCTTAGTCATGATCTCACCTGGAAAAATAACACAATTCAGGTGGTCAGGAAGGCTCAATAGAGACTCCATTTTCTTAGAGTCTTGCAAAAAAAAATCAGGTGGAACAATGACTGATGAGTTCCTTTTACTGGTGTACGATAGAATGCATCATTACATATTGTGTTATGATAAGGTATGCTGGCTTGACAGCTGTTGATAGAAAGGTATTACAGAGGGTGATGAGCACAGCACAAAAAAATATGGGCTATCACCTGGCACCACTGGATGAAATCTCCAGGACCCACTGCCTCAACAGAGTGAGAAAATCCTCAGGGATGATTCACACCCTGGTCAGCACTTCTTTACTCTCCTACTATCGGGCAGAAGATATAAAAGCATAGCTAGTTGAACGAATAGGCTGAAAAATAGATTTTATCCATGGGCTGTCAAACTTCTGAACGCAACATAACACCACAATTAGGTTTAATATGCCATGCTTGCAGGCCAGTGCAACGTGCAACATGTTCATACAGATGTAATATAATATAATATTACATACATATATGGGAATGTGTGTTAGTTATTACTTATTTGGATTTAGGGATTCTATTTTTTTCATTTGAGTTATTGAGATGTATCTTATGTTTCAAGGGGCTGCACCAAGGGAGAATAATTCAATTTCATTGT